CTACCGCTCTATTTATAGACGCGGTGACCTGTCGTGTCGGGACGTATCGGCACACTTCGTGGCGCGAACGTCAAGAAGCGCGCGCTGGCCAATCATGTGGCGGCATCGTGGTAGCGGGACCGGACGGCGGCTCTAGACTGAGATTCCAGATGGGAGACAAGTAGTATCCTTCCTCTCGATTGATATTATGTGGATTTTTTCGGATCTCTAGAGATTCGCGGATTTTCCTGGAATAAAAGAAGGGGCTCTTAGAAATAATATGGGTTTTTTCGAACAATATGGAATGACCGGTTTCTTGGCAGTGTTCTGCAACTGCAGAATGGGAGAAAAAACCTGATCGAATGCATCTTTGATGCTCTTGAATCACAGTGACACCACAGGAAGATAGGGGCGGTAATGGGTCCTTAGGTTAGGGTAGATATTGTGAGATTTTCTTGGGTGGTCGAAAAGTAGTCCTGATACCTTCTTTGCCGTCCGGTCCCGCTACCACGATGCAGCCACATGATTGGCCAGCGCGCGCTTCTTGACGTTCGCGTCACGAAGTGTGCCGATACGTCCCGACACGACAGGTCACCGCGACTATAAATAGAGCGGTAGCGGAGTAATCGTCGGATTCACTCCCCGCCTCTCGACGCGTTAGTGTTCTGAGCTGTTGGACGTGAATCCCTGTCCTGGCATTTGGTTTTCACCTCTGGCTGCGTTGAGTAGTTGAGTTACTGTGACCAAATGCCCATCTTGGTAGTTAGTATTCGCCTCTGGTTGCGTTGAGTAACTGAGTTACCGTTGCTAACTACCCATCTTCCTGTCTTTTGTTTTCTTTTTATTTGTTCTCCTGAAGAAGCTACATACAATTGTAGCGAAACGTCGAGATGAACCCACTTTTGGGTCACTCGCAAATGACACGGTCCAAACCCGGAAGACGAATAAACTATAATAAAAACAATTCGTACTAATTTTTTCAACTATAAAACTTACATTGTAAGTACCAAATCCTAATTTGTGGGCCTCTCGATCTGCTTCGGGTATTTTACTTTTTCATATATTTCTAGGTTTTGTGACGATCGAACCTGTAGTTTTGTATTTTCTGACTATATTTCTTACACTATAGCATGACAATTGCAACATATTCGCGATTTTCGATTAATTTTTCTAGAATTAAAAAATCTAATAATGATTGAAAAAAATTTCTCATCGATAACTTTACCTTGACCCATTGTACAATCCACACACGGCAAAAAGCTTTACAATACTACAAAACATGATACTATGACTATAAGATAAGATATTGCGCATGTTTTTGTGACGTCATTGGAGACTTGCACGTTCGAAATGTCAGTTTTTGTATATATCAATAAATAATCTTTAATAAATAGTTTGGAGATATCCTTATGTGTACGATTATTATAATTATTAAATCTCTTAACTTATTTTCGTCTGGTAATTTCATCACAGAATGCATACAAATCTCATTTAACTTTAACAAGAATTCAAATTCTAGTCTCCAATGACGGCATGCGCGAACCCGACCGATTTTGAGCTACGGGAAGATCCTATCTTGTTATTCATAGTATCATGCTACAAAATAAATTTGACATTAACTGACAATATTATTGTTTTGATGTCATTTTTCCATAGCTACTCTGCTCAATTTAACGCAATTATGAAAAATCAACTTATGTTGACAGAAGTGAATGCATAGCCATAATGAAAATAAATAAAAAACAATAAGGGTCATGTTTTTAATAAATATTAATAAAAATGACATATTAGTTAATATGGGAACTTATAAAAACATGCAGAGTACAATTTGTTTATAGTAATCGAATTAAACTGCAAATTCCGTAGATGAGCCAACTGATATGGGAAGGGGCTCGTATGCATTTGTCTTACTAGGTGTTCTCTACCTAATATATATAGCTCAGATGGGACGTTGTCAATGTCTGGAGCCTTGTTATTCTTCTGTGCTCGTATTGCTTGTTTTACCTCTTCCATCGTCGTGGTTTCTATATTTTCTGTGTCTCCCTCAATGTGATGCATGTCAATATGCTAGAAGAGTTTGGAAATAGGTTTTCCAGACTGATTTTATTTCTTTTGAATCACTGGTTATTTGCTCTTCTTGATTTCTGCATAGATTTGTTCGGGGTTTGCATCCTTCTCTTAAATTGCATAGATATCTATACGCTTCCCTTATATGGTTGCTTTGGAGATTTTCTTCCATTTTCTGTATATTACCGTTCTCGTATTTTCTTTTCTTGTGTTCTTCATTTCTTTTCTGTATGGCCTTTTTATACTTGTCATTGTACCATTCGCTTTTTGTTGGTTTCTTTTTTCATGATCTTTCTTGCTGCGTCAATTATTTTTGTTTTAATTTCTTCCCAATGTTCTCCGGCTTCTTCACAACAGCTGTTGAACCGAATTTTCTACACTGGCGTTGTATTACTTTTATTTCACTACAGTAAAATGCTGAGGCAAGCGTCACGGAACTAGCGCCACAAGATGGTGTCGTCACGGGTAGCGTCATAGAATAGTGGTTCATGACATCGATTCACTCCTCCCGATCAATTCGTTTCTAGTCATCATCACTCTAAGCAGGTGTAAATTAAATCATGCATGAAAAATAACATAATAATTCTCGTTTTACAATAATTTTATGTAGGTAAATACAATGATTATTTTTAAACGTATTATTTAGTTTGTATAATAATTAAATTTACTATCAAATGATATTTATTTAATTTAATTATTAGAGAATTATTAGATTTTCGTTTTTCTCGTCAGAAGAACTGTCTCGTAAACTGAATGAACCTTTTTCTTTCTGATGGTTGACTCATCAGGAATGGTTTGGTTGCAATGCCTTTGTAAAAAACTTCTAAATTGGGGATGCTGAAGTTTTATTAGTGGTATGTTAGTTGCCATCATAGTGTTACACAAGTTTTCTTGGAAAAGTTCCTTATGCGACTTAGATTTTGCACCCACATTTTGAAATGCGTTTTTAACATTCTGCTGAACAGGCGCACATTTCATTTTTGCAACCTTCCCGATATGCAGTGCTGTTTTTAAATACTGATTCACTCGAAACTTTTTGACACAAACAATTATTTTTTAACAGGCTTTGCAAAAAACTTTTAATCCACTAAATTCTAACTCGGAAATACCCTTAATCCACGTCGCGGTTTTTACTTTTTTCTTCATTTTTAAAACCAATCAAAACTGGCTAAATATATGTTAACACACTAAAGCTTTTCGACAAACTGAAAATACTAACCTGAGTCTAGTTATGCCTACCCAATATTTAATGTGCAAACCAACGAATATATATTAAGATCATAAAAACCTCCCTAAAATGGTATGGGATTGTCAATTTTCTAACAATAGTAGAATTATTCACAAATACAGTGTCTCATTCATTATTATAAAAGTCATTTAGATAACAGTAATAAAAATAAATAGTCCCTTGTGACCACCATTAGCACATCATATAAAGTGCTATCAATTATCTTGCTAAAGAAACTCACACCATATTCGGAAGATATTCTAGGCGACTACCAATGCGGCTTTCGTGCTGGAAGTTCAACTATAGATCAGATATTTACCATCCGACAAATATTAGAAAAAAACTGGGAATTCAACCGCGATGTGCACCAAATTTTCATAGATGTCCAGAAAGCAATTGATTCCATAAAAAGAAGCAAAGTGTGGATAGCAATGTTAGAAATGCGAATACCAAGAAAATTAGTTGAATTAACGCAAATGTGCGTGACACATATGCGCAAGTAAAGATAGGAAACAGAACATCGATGCCATTTGGTATAAATTCAGGACTTAGGCAGGGGGACCCCTTGTTACCGTTGTTGTTCAATTTTGCTTTAGAATATGCAATAAGTAAAATATCGTCTGAGCTGACAGGAAGATTTGCAGATCAAGGATCAAAATTGTTGCTGGCCTTTGCTGATGGTATATATGCAGTCACGCATTCTACAAGAGACGTGAGAGAGGTGTTTTTACAGCTCGAGGAAGAAACAGGTAGTCTGGGTCTCCGAATAAATGAAGAAAAGACATAATACATGGTAGTAAAATCCAAGACCAAGAGTTAGGCAGAACATCAGTATTAATGGTCACAACTTCGAAGTAGTAAAGGAGTTTAAATACCTGGGGGCGATAATCACAGCTGACAACCACATAGAAAAAAAGAGGTCTCAGCAAGGATAGCTGCGGGAAATAGAGCATTATACTCACTTTCAACATTATTAAGATCAAAGCTGCTAAAAAGAAAATCTAAATTAACACTGTACAAGTCGATTATTCGCCCAATTATTACATATGGCAGTGAAACATGGACTCTCAACCAGCGGGAAATCAATAAGCTTCTAGTATTTGAAAGAAAGATTTATCTAGAATTGGGGTACAACCATGGGTAATAAAAGCGCATGATCGTAGCAGATGGAGGGCGATAGTGGATGCGGCGAAGACTTACCCCGAGTTGTAAAGCCAGTGAAGAAGAAGAAGAAGACCACCACGGTGTGATCGGGTTAAAAAATTACCTGAATACGACCATTCAACTTGAACATTCCTTAAATTCTTCGCTCTTTCAGAAGGAACTGTTAAATATAATTTTTGGGTGTAAAGATGATAAATTAAAATGTTCCTAAAATATGCATTTTTTTCAAAAACTGACAAAATCTGCAAAATATGCACGTATATGCAATTTGGTCTGAATATTTGGTCTGAATTTGACAGGTTTGTCGTAAGTAAACAACGTATGGTAGGTTAATACGTTAATAGGTGGCATTAGGATCAAACCAAATAATTTATTGAATTTGTTTAAAATATAAAAATATATAAATAATAAAAAAAAATATTTAAATTTTAAAAATACAGAAAACAGTATGGAAGTCCGCGCTAGTTTACAGTACCGCCTACTGTTCCACTTTTTTTTTGTTTACTAGAGTATAGCTTTTGGTGAAGATATAAAACGATCTTATATATTCTTTTTGTTCCAGTCTTTACTGAGTGACCCAAATCCCAATTCACCGGCCAACTCTATGGCCGCACAACTGTACAAAGAAAATAGAAGAGAATATGAAAAAAGAGTGAAGGCATGCGTGGAACAGAGCTTTATTGATTAGCAGTTGTCTCGTCGTCATCGTCGAATTATTTATTCGAACTGATTCTCACTTTGCGCTTCAAAATTACAGCTACTTCTTACAGAGGCCCTGCCTTCTCAGTAACTAATAGTTTTAATCAACTCGTTTTTACTTTTTTTTGAATAAAGATTGTTTTACAAAAACTGTATATACAATGTTTCAGAAAGTTCTATTCCGTTTTACTGCCTGATAGAAGTTAATCTGGTGTTGGCGATAATGTATTATAAAATAGTAAACATAAAATATTTTCAATATTTAAAAAAAACTTAATTATTTTATATAATCTCCAAATATTCCCTTCAATGCCCCACAAGGGCACAAAGATATTAAAGCTGTATTATATAAAGTAATATGTATTGTTGATATAGTAGACATGTCACCAGGACTTTAATCTGGAGTGTCAGGTGGATGAGATAGGAATTCTACCACTTGAATAATAAGGCGTCAGTAAAATATTTGATGCAGTTGAATTCATCAACTTTATATATTTTTATTTCTTTAAAAACTTTATTACATTATTATATCTTGTAAAGAAATTTGAGCACATTTACATCATTCAAATGTAATGTGTCATTGTTTAACACTCGGATATTCTACAATGAGTTTATTTTAAAATATCTTCTACCATTTAGTCAGGAATAGAACTTATGAAACACACGATAGGAGCTTTCCTTTACAAAAATTTCGTTAATACATTAACAGATATTGAAGTACCAGTGCAAAAAATGTGGATTAGTATAAATTGATTTTTCTTTCTAGTAGGTGCATGTTTTATGTTTAATACAATTGTTAATATTTAATGTGTACAATAAAAAATATTTTTTGTAGATAATTAAAAGTAAAATACGCAGTTTTACGCTAGCAAAAATTATAACAGTAATTTTGAAAACAATTTTGTTTACCACATTTACAATAGATCGCAAATATTTGAATCAAGTGGCAAGCAGGGTACTGTCTTAATTTTTTCATATCTGTACATAATGACGTTATAATTATTTACAGTGTGAACCCCTAATTGTGTTAATAAATAATTTTACTGGACGCTAGTCATTGCAAAAAAAGAAAAATATTCAGACATTATAATCTGACACTACCAAAGGACAAGGTGTTGGTGGAACAAAGACATGTAAAGGTTTCAAGCTAATACTAGGATAGTATAAAGCTCACTCGAACGTTAGAAAACATATACATAACTATTTCGTACATTTTTTTGACACCTTTAGAAAAAAGTCCATATGTTGAAATTTCTAATGAAAATAAATCGAAAACTAAAACATAGATTTTCAAATTTTGTTTCAGTTAAAAGTGATAAACTTATCATACATTGAGCTTTTACAGACTATGATTCTGATTCAAGCTTGATGAAAAATTGAATTGTGTATATCTTTGGCATTTATGTATTGGCTAATTAATTAATTATCAATTAACTCATACGTTACATTTACGTCTAATTTACTCATTGAAATCTATAAGACACAAAAAAAACTTTGAGGCAGTCCGAAAGTACAGGATACTTTACTTAAAGTTAGCAACACTTTTTTACGCATAATTACATGTTAAATACGGTCAGACACAAGCAAAATAATGTGGAAATCCACAGAGATACTCAACAGTTGATTGTTATTCTTCACGGTTTTAGTAAAATATTTATTAATAATTATGCAAAATTGGTTAAATTAACTTTTCTGCAAAAATATGCCAAATACACTACTGATATGAAAAGAATACCAATACCGTTGGTAGGTTAGGTTTTTAGAATCGAACTTATATTGAAAAACAGCTTACAAGGTGGCACCACCGCCACATAAATGTTGCGAGGTTTGTGACGTCCCAAAGTAACCCGTCGGTCAATAAGTTCCGAGCCTAACTAGTAAAACAACATTTTTTTGCAAAAATTATTCTTTATTCATCAAAATAATCTTAAGCGCCAATACAATCATTCCAACGCTTTTCTAATTTTTCGAAGCCGCCCTTGTAAAACGATTTATCTTTGCCTTCAAAATAGGCTTCAGTTTTGGCGATTACTTTCTCATCGGAGAGATATCTTTGACACAGAAACATTTTTTTAGATCTGAAAAAGGTGGTAATCGCTGGGAGCTAGATCTGGACTACATGGCGGTTGCGGAAGCAATTCAAAGCCCAATTTCCGCATTTTTGTCATCGTTTTCATCGACTTGTTACAATGTGCATTGTTTTTGTGCAGCAATGTTATTTTCTTGAAGAAATAAGGCATTTTCTTTGGGATTCGGTCTTCAAGCGCTCCAAGAAACCAATTTATTATTCGCTGTTGATTGTGTCTCCATTTTTCAAATATTCAATGAAAATAATTTTGTGCTGGCCCCAAAATACAAAAACTATAACATTTTCGGCGGTTTGTTGCGTCTTTCCGGGTGCTGTCCACTCAGATGACTGCCGATTTGATTCCGGAGTGAAGTGATGGATCCATGTTTCATCCATTGTGACATACCGATTCAAAAACTCCGACTTATTCTGATTAAACGTGTCCAAAAGCGCTGAGATTCATCAATTCGTTGTTGTTTTTGCTTTGGTGTGAGAAAACGCGACACACATTTGGAAAACAGCTTTCTCATATCCAAATGTTCGTATATAATAATGAAAACGCTACCCTTTGATAACTCTAGAGTGTCAGTTATCCCTTGCAACTTCTCTTTGTGGTTTCGATAATAAAAATAATAATTTTCAGCGTTTTTTCGATGTTTCGATTCAGCAAACCATCGTTTAATGGTTGTAATCAATGGAGCAGAGTCAGAGTAACACTTTTTGAGCCATTGCTTAGTTTGGACGTCCATCAAATAACAGTGATAAATCAACACACGGAATTACTTTGAATCCATTGTTTATAAAAATCACAAAAGTATCGTCACTTCAAACACTGTAACTCGGTCGATAATAATCCTAATGACATGAACATTTGACAGTATAGATTCATTAGGGTCACCATCTCATGGTTAGGCCCGGGATTTTTTGCCCGACGTATTTCAGTACTCTATCCCACCATTACACTATCATTATTACCTGACACAAGTTACCAGTTACTCTGGTATCATCGGTACGAAAAAGCATGTACACAAAAAGATTTTTTCTGAAATTGAGACAAACTAAACTTTAGACACTTAAACTTTCAAAAAAAGGACAAAATGAAAAGTAAGTCATTACTGCAGAGACTAAACTCCATAATGGGTTTAATTAACTTTTACAAGGGTCTGCTATTACAAAATATGTGTAAATGGAATTATCTGTTTGATTAAACACACTTAATTTAATATCTATAATATTTAGCTACTGAATAACATAAAAGGTGTCAACACACGGTGAAACTTAAACGTTTCATCAATTTCTCATTTTGGCTGGCCAATAATTATTCATATGACCGTTGCAGATTAGTGATATCACTGTTAAAAGTATACATTTCAAGATATAGCTTGCCCTTGCTTGTTTTGTTAATCGTAGCTTTACATGTAGTTAAGTTGTTTTGTGTACTGTTTTTGTAGAATTTTATCATTCTAATCTAAAATGTTTTCATTGTGGTATGCGTTTTTTATTTTTAATTTTCAGTTCAGTTTACTTCATCTAATTTTTTTATTTGTGCGTTAGACCACTCTCTTTTCCGTACTGCCTACCTTCGTTTTTCAGGTAGATGGATGTGTTATAATTAAATATACTTAAATAAATTATTATAACTACTTGTGTTTTATTAAACCTTACTTTGTAAAATTCAAAGAGCAAAAAAATATTTTATAATAATAATACCTAATTGAGCCGACTCCGTACGGGAATTATTTAATACTTTCCAAGAAGAGAAATGACCTTATGAACAAAAAAATAATATATAAACTCTACAAAACAATAATACGCCCAGTCCTAACATATCGTTTAGAGACCTGGACTCTAACAAAAAATAATTGAAAACATGTTAGGATGTTTCGAAAGAAAAGTACTAAGGCGAATCTATAGAGCAGTGAATGACAATGGAGTGTGGAGAAGACGATATAACTTCGAACTTTATAAAATATACCAGTAACCAGATATCGTAAAACATATTAACACTTTGATTGCCATGAAAAGCATGCCGTGATGCACGGCCAATTTGATTCTGTTGCCTGAATCAGCTTTTGATTCTCGCTTATATGTTATTTATATGAGATAGAAATATGTCCGGCTGGAAGGACCCTCTTTTATTCACTATGGCGGCAGTCTAAGTGTTAAGATAGGACGTCTGAGGTGGATAGAGCATGTAATGCGGATGAAACAAAATGACCAAGCTAGAAAAACGCTGCTTGATAGACCCATTGGTCGGAGAAGAAGAGGAAGACCCTGTGAAATATTTTAAATAGTCTGACGACGGCCGTGTCGTCTTTGGATCGACGCAATCATAGCTTAGCATGGCGACGCCTTGTCGCTAAGGGAGATTGGAAATTCCCGTTACGATATATTTTGGAAGGCTACCTAGCAACCTTCATTCGACATCATTCTGTTTCAATTTATCGAAGTAACAACATGTAATATATTTGTAATACTTTTTAGTTGCATTATTACAAACAATTAAGTTTTTTTTCTATATTATAACATTCACATAGAAGTATTAAAATAGTTTCACGTGCGGCCTTGTGTTCTTTACTAAAACCAGGGGAAGTCCAAATAATATTTAACAACAAGTAACTGTGGGAGAATTCAAGATTCCCGTTTTCCACTGAACAGTTACCTCAACAGGCCCAGAACTAGGTTCCTTGATAACATCGATGAAGATATGAGAAATATGGGAATACGTGCTTGTCGGAGAAAGGCGATGGATAGGGACGGCTGGAGAGAAATTCTTGAGGAGGCTAGGACCCACGCAGAGTTGTAAAGCCAGAATAATGATGAACACCTACAAAGGACGGCAACAAAACTGAAAACGCGAAATAATATAGTACAAAAGCTATTTGGCACCACATGGGGTCCTCAGCCTCCGTACTTAGAATCCGCTCTCGAACTTGTATACTCGGCAGCTGTATATGCTTCCCCTTTAGGGCTCAATAGCAATCACACGAAGATTATTGACACCCAATTAAACCAGACAATGGGAATGATCTCAGGTACAATTAGACCCACACCGAACTGTTGGCTTTCCATTCTGAGTCACATTGCACCGCCAAAACTGCGAAGAAGTCATATCAGAGAATACCGAAAAATCAAGGTTAACTATCAACCTCCCATCCGTCATGTTAAGCTTGATATCAAAATGAACAGACTGCGCTCCAGATATCCTCCATTGCTAAGACAGTCTTACAACAGAAACATTTCAACCTCACCAACGCTTGGAGAAGACAATGGGATAGCGACTCACCACAGGAAGGACATCAAATGGCCTGTATCGATCAGAAACCGCCAAGCTTTAAACTGACCCGCAATGCATGGACAACGCTAAACAGAATAAGAACAAGCAGCGGTAGATCTGCTGACGCAGCTTATATAGAAGGGGAAAAATAGAACATAATATGGTATTGCCCATGTTACTATGGTGCGAAATTCATATACATCATCATCATTGGCTTTTACAACTCTTCGTGAGTTTTTGCCGCGTTTACTATTGCCTTCCATTGATTCCGATCCTGTGCTATTATTTCCCATGGCCTTACTTCCATCTTCTCCAGGTCTTCCCTGACTGCGTCTTTCCACCTTTTTCTAAGCCTTCCTGTCGATCTTTTACCATCTGGTCTTTCCCAAAACACATTGCTAATCAGTCTGTCGTCATCACTCCGTACCACGTGGCCTGCCCATCTTAATCTATTGGCTTTTATGTATCTTACGATGTTTCCTTTCCCGAAGAGAGTCTTTATTTCATTGTTGTATCTGCTCCTCCATTCATTTGTCACGCTGTCCCTGCAAGGACCATATATAATTCGCAGGATTTTGCGTTCCCATACTAATAGCTTATTGATTTCTTTCTTTCTCAATGTCCATGTTTCACTTCTATATGTCACTGCTGGTCGTATTATGGTTTTGTACATTTGGATTTTGGCACGCCTTGAGAGAAGCTTTGACCTCATTAGATGTTGAATGGCAAAGAATGATTTATTCCCCGTCAGTATTCGTATTTCAACCTCCCGTTCTCCTGTGTTTTCACTGGTAATTGTTGCTCCTAGGTATTTGAATTCTTTGACCACCTCAAAATTATGATCGTTTATGGTAATGTTGAAATTCATATACGGAATGTTAAATATTATATAAATAAACATAATATATATATATATATATATATAATATATATATATATATATAATATATATATATATATATATATATATATATATATATATATATATATATATATATATATACGGAATGTTAAATATTCGTAGACCTAAAAAGACGACTTCTCATTAAAATCAGAAGAGAGTAATTTTAAAATATATTTAAATAAATAATAAAAAATTTAAAATTTTTAAAACGTAATATTTATACGAAATTTAATGTCCTTCGCCATTTTTAGTGGCCTTTGTTTGATCTGCTGCTATGTTGGACGAAAGATTGTGACGCTTTTTAAACCCTTTTTTAGGTGGTTGTCCAAATGGTAATCTATTTGACTCTCTAGTAACTCCCCACTTCTTCGACTGATTGAAGTTGGTTGCACTCGTATATTGGCCTTGTATTCAAATCGCCTTAGCGAGAAACTTCCTGCCATGTTTTAGAAAACTTTCCCAAGCCGTTTTGGTTTTAATATAGGATAATCTTTCGTGAAATTCTTGTTGTTCAGCTGTTTCATTTTGGTTTAAAAGAATATCTTCTCTAACATTACTTTTATCACTATTATAAACAGAAAGATATAACTAAATTATCTAAAAATTTATACAAAAGTCCTAGTGGGCAAAATAATTCTGTGCTTTACGAAATTGATATAGCAACAGGATTTTGCAGCTGTGAAATTGGAAGTTTGGATGCATTTTGCAAGCATTAACATGAGACTGCACACTTTTTTAATATTACTGCACTCTCTTTTCAATCCTGAAAATTGATACAAAGTAGATAAATTAGCTTTTGGCGAAAAAGTTCAACTTTATTCATTTTATAGAGGGCTTGCATGATCCAGCAAAAGTATTACAGAACATTATATTAATAACAGCATTGACAACATTGATGAAAATAATGTTAGAGAATATATTATTTTAAACAAAAATTCGACAGCTAAATAACAACAATTTTCTTTTGCCAATGTTACTACAAGATTGATAAATTAATATACTACAAGATAAAAATGTTACATTTGAAACTGATTCATCAACTTTAAAACAAACTTTAAAATTATTGCACGAAAGATTATCCCATATTAAAACTAAAACGGCTTGGGAACGTTTTTTAAACATGGCAGAAAGTTCCTCGGCAAGGCGATCTGAATACGGCTAGGCGCACACAAATCGAATTTGGACGGTCGATAAAAGTTCGATCGAACAAATTCCTTTGGTGGCGCGAAGAAACAAATGCGAGCGTGCTCACACATCGATCTCCAAACGGCACGGCATCGATGTCGTGTCGTGTGGACACTCCATGGACGGCTGCCGTGGTCGTTGCCGTCGTCCAAATCGTATAGTACCGTACCAAATGAACACGCGCACACACATCGATCTTTATCGACCGACCAGAGGACCAGTTGCGTTTTTTTGACACTGCTCAAGGTACGTCGCTCCGTGTTGCTACGTGGTTCTATGTTGCTCATTGTGATTTTGTGTACTCCACCTAACAAACCTTTGTAGATTAAAAAACGTCATCGAATACGGAATGTTTAGATGCGCACAGTAGGGGACTAAGCCAAATTTCGTCTACTGCGCCTTGGTTAGGAGTGCTTGCACTATCTCTATACAAACTAAATTTTATCCATTTTATAAAATTGACAGTTAAAATTTTGGCGGGAGCGATGTTGACAGTGTAAATTGTTGGCGAGTGCTTAGCTGTTACCGTTGATTGAAAATTTCAATCACCGCTGTTAAATTTCTTTAATGAACTAATAATACGGCAACCACTTATATCTACTACATTTATGCGACATCTAGGGAGTAATGTGTAAACCTAAAAAGAAATTACTTTTGTTCTATAAATTAATTTAGTCGTAAATGAATAGACGTCATAACTAAACGTCACTAAATATTATGATTATAAATATTCGTCAAAATAAAATAAGACTATAATAATTTTAAAATACAACACTAATACAGTATTTGTAAATAATTTGAGTCGTGAGTGATTACTTGTAACTATGGCAACAAATTCTGAGGATTACAAGCAGAAAAACTCTTCATTGTCGTTATTGTCACTGGAGAGTACAAATAATGAACGTGGTGCCCAGATAGAAAACAGTGACGTTGCGAAAGTACAACTGCCGCCTATACCTTCACCATATCAAGTATTTCAAGAAATTGACGTAAACAGTTCCCTTAGGAAGGTCAGTAATGTTAAACCGATTACAGAATCCAACCAAAGGCAATATTACATTTCAACGATACAGTTAGACCAGAGCAACGCTGATTCCGACCAAGATCCGCATTTCGTTCCTGGTGTGCGAAGTAAAACCTATATAGTTTGCTTCGAGGTCGAACAATAAAACCATCAAGTAGCTTTTCTACCAATAGTTCGGATGATACAGTTGTGGATAATTCAGTGTCGAGTGAGGAGTAGGCAGATTGAGACTTCAGTGCCGTTTGACGTCGT